ACAGGTGGTAGTTACAGACTGGTGGTAGTTAAAGACAGGTGGTAGTTATAGACAGGTGGCAGATATAGACAGATGGTAGTTATAGACAGGGGGTAGTTATAAACAGGTGGTAGATATAGACAGGTGGTAGATATAGACAGGTGGTAGATATAGACAGGTGGTAGATATAGACAGGTGGTAGATATAGACAGGTGGTAGATATAGACAGGTGGTAGATATAGACAGGTGGTAGATATAGACAGGTGGTCGATATAGACAGATGGTAGTTATAGACAGCTGGTAGTTACAGACAGGTGGTAGATATAGACAGGTGGTAGTTAAAGACAGGTGGTTGATATAGACAGGTGGTAGATATAGACAGGTGGTAGATACAGACAGGTGGTAGATACAGACAGGTGGTAGATATAGACAGGTGGTAGATATAGACAGGTGGTAGATATAGACAGGTGGTAGATATAGACAGGTGGTAGATATAGACAGGTGGTAGATATAGACAGGTGGTAGATATAGACAGCTGGTAGGTATAGACAGGTGGTAGATATAGACAGGTGGTAGATATAGACAGGTGGTAGATATAGACAGGTGGTAGATATAGACAGCTGGTAGATATAGACAGGTGGTAGATATAGACAGGTGGTAGATATAGACAGGTGGTAGTTACAGACAGGTGGTAGACATAGACAGGTGGTAGATATAGACAGGTGGTAGATATAGACAGGTGGTAGATATAGACAGGTGGTAGATATAGACAGGTGGTAGTTACAGACAGGTGGTAGATATAGACAGCTGGTAGGTATAGACAGGTGGTAGATATAGACAGGTGGTAGATATAGACAGGTGGTAGATATAGACAGGTGGTAGATATAGACAGGTGGTCGATATAGACAGGTGATAGATATAGACAGGTGGTAGTTATAGACATGGTAGATATAGACAGGTGGTAGTTATAGACAGGTGGTAGTTATAGACAGGTGGTAGTTATAGACAGGTGGTAGTTATAGACAGGTGGTAGATATAGACAGGTGGTAGATATAGACAGGTGGTAGATATAGACAGGTGGTAGATATAGACAGGTGGCAGATATAGACAGATGGTAGTTATAGACAGGGGGTAGTTATAAACAGGTGGTAGATATAGACAGGTGGTAGATATAGACAGGTGGTAGATATAGACAGGTGGTAGATGTAGACAGGTGGTAGATATAGACAGGTGGTAGATATAGACAGCTGGTAGATATAGACAGGTGGTAGATATAGACAGGTGGTAGATATAGACAGGTGGTAGATATAGACAGGTGGTAGATATAGACAGGTGCTAGATATAGACAGGTGGTCGATATAGACAGGTGGTAGATATAGACAGGTGGTAGATATAGACAGGTGGTAGATATAGACAGGTGGTAGATATAGACAGGTGGTAGATATAGACAGACAGGTGGTAGATATAGACAGCTGGTAGATATAGACAGGTGGTAGATATAGACAGCTGGTAGATATAGACAGGTGGTAGATATAGACAGGTGGTAGATATAGACAGGTGGTAGATATAGACAGCTGGTAGATATAGACAGGTGGTAGATATAGACAGGTGGTAGATATAGACAGGTGGTAGATATAGACAGGTGGTAGATATAGACAGGTGGTAGATATAGACAGGTGGTAGATATAGACAGGTGGTAGATATAGACAGGTGGTAGATATAGACAGGTGGTAGATATAGACAGGTGGTAGATATAGACAGGTGGTAGATATAGATAGGTGGTAGATATAGACAGGTGGTAGATATAGACAGGTGGTAGATATAGACAGGTGGTAGATATAGACAGGTGGTAGATATAGACAGGTGGTAGATATAGACAGGTGGTAGATATAGACAGGTGGTAGATATAGACAGGTGGTAGATATAGACAGGTGGTAGATATAGACAGGTGGTAGTTACAGACAGGTGGTAGTAGACAGGTGGTAGATATAGACAGGTGGTAGATATAGACAGGTGGTAGTTACAGACAGGTGGTAGTTACAGACAGGTGGTAGATATAGACAGGTGGTAGATATAGACAGGTGGTAGATATAGACAGGTGGTAGATACAGACAGGTGGTAGTTACAGACAGGTGGTAGATATAGACAGGTGGTAGATATAGACAGGTGGTAGATATAGACAGGTGGTAGATATAGACAGGTGGTAGTTACAGACAGGTGGTAGTTACAGACAGGTGGTAGATATAGACAGGTGGTAGTTATAGACGGGTGGTAGTTAAAGACAGGTGGTAGTTATTGACAGGTGGTAGTTAAAGACGGGTGGTAGTTATAGACGGGTGGTAGTTATAGACAGGCGGTAGATATAGACAGGTGGTAGTTACAGACTGGTGGTAGTTAAAGACAGGTGGTAGTTATAGACAGGTGGCAGATATAGACAGCTGGTAGATATAGACAGGTGGTAGATATAGACAGGTGGTAGATATAGACAGGTGGTAGATATAGACAGGTGGTAGATATAGACAGCTGGTAGATATAGACAGGTGGTAGATATAGACAGGTGGTAGATATAGACAGCTGGTAGATATAGACAGGTGGTAGATATAGACAGGTGCTAGATATAGACAGGTGGTCGATATAGACAGATGGTAGTTATAGACAGCTGGTAGTTACAGACAGGTGGTAGATATAGACAGGTGGTAGATATAGACAGGTGGTAGATATAGACAGGTGGTAGATATAGACAGGTGGTAGATATAGACAGGTGGGAGACAGGTGGTAGATATAGACAGGTGGTAGATATAGACAGGTGGTAGATATAGACAGTTGGTAGATATAGACAGGTGGTAGATATAGACAGCTGGTAGATATAGACAGGTGGTAGATATAGACAGGTGGTAGATATAGACAGGTGGTAGATATAGACAGGTGGTAGATATAGACAGGTGGTAGATATAGACAGGTTGTAGATATAGACAGGTGGTAGATATAGACAGGTGGTAGATATAGACAGGTGGTAGATATAGACAGGTGGTAGATATAGACAGGTGGTAGATATAGACAGGTGGTAGATACAGACAGGTGGTAGATACAGACAGGTGGTAGATATAGACAGGTGGTAGATATAGACAGGTGGTAGTTACAGACAGGTGGTAGTTACAGACAGGTGGTAGATATAGACAGACAGGTGGTAGACAGGTGGTAGATATAGACAGGTGGTAGATACAGACAGGTGGTAGATACAGACAGGTGGTAGATATAGACAGGTGGTAGATATAGACAGGTGGTAGATATAGACAGGTGGTAGATATAGACAGGTGGTAGATATAGACAGGTGGTAGTTACAGACAGGTGGTAGACATAGACAGGTGGTAGATATAGACAGGTGGTAGTTACAGACAGGTGGTAGTTACAGACAGGTGGTAGATATAGACAGGTGGTAGATATAGACAGGTGGTAGTTACAGACAGGTGGTAGTTACAGACAGGTGGTAGATATAGACAGGTGGTAGATATAGACATGTTGCTGATTGAGATTGGTTGTAGATGTCTGTGATGCTGATTTTACCTGTTCCCATCTTTGAACCTTGTGACGTTTGATCTTGAGAAAATTTGATTGGTCGATGAATTATTAATTATCTGAATCACTTCCTTTTTATCTTTTTGTCCAGGGGGTTCGAATCATGTGTTTCTGCAAAGAAATCAATAATGCAACGCCTGTTTTCACACAGTTTGGGGGGGAAATAGTGAAAGGATGGAGTAAACACGAGGAATGACCGCACAAAGAAAGAGAGAAAGTAAGAGATGTAGAACAGGGACGAATGAAGAAATGAAAGAACGTGTGAAATAGGGAACAAAAGAAGGAACAGGCGAACGAAAAAAGAAGGAAGGGAAAACGTATATACACAGAACACAATTTAAAAAACTGTCTGTACGTTGTTCGAAATACCCTGGAATTTATTGCGTTTGCGAAGTTATAAATAATGCATGCATTTTATCTCTATAGATATATTTTATTTATTCTCCTCTTGTGAACCTACATGTATTTCTGAGGTGTGCAGAAAAGCATGTGTATATAGAATGTATTGACCTTCCAACGACGGGCGTACGTGACGGTTATTGTTTTAAACTCACTTTCGGCAAGCTACAAGTGGATTTGATCTTTGAAAGTGAAGTATTCAAATCAGATCGAAACAATGACGTCATCATATGTCTATTTTACCACTTTGATGACTACTTAATTCGTTGATACGCCTTCTAAGGGTAATTTTTAACGAATTTATAACTTTCGCGTCGTTTTCATGGGATTTATAAGGTATTTTCAAGTAAGGAGAATTCATATTGTGCATGCAGATAAATTCCATCCGTTTCAGATGGCAGTAAGTAAACACAGGAAAAATGCAGCAAGGCACCAATTGACCGGATTTGATCGAGCACCTGTCCTATCAGGACACGACATGATCCACGAAATTGAAGTGGACTGTTATCACACAAGAGGCCAGCGTTATCTTGTTTAAGATTGAAGTAGCAGTGTTCCTTCTGCGGTAGACTTAAGATATACCCGGTCAATCTTGTACTCAAGTTTCTTAATACCGTGCAGATGGATCGAAAGGTGGACATTAGACTCCAAACCTTTAAGTCAGTTTGGATTGAATAAGTAGCTGGCAAATTGGCTTAGAAATAATTATATTTGTACAGTTTGGTTTGTGTGATAAGTAAACAGTTGGGGTATTTACATTTTTTTTTTCAAATGTTTTAAATATTATGTGTGGTCAGTTTGAAGTTACACGTTTTCTCTGGACATCACTAAGGTCAATCTGTGGGCATGGATATTACGTCACAGCGATCGAAATTGGTATTTTAACAAATGTTTGTGTCAATACATGTATTGATTGTTCAGTGTGTTAAGATCGAAAGTCTTTAGACTGACCAGTAGACTAGGGACTTTGAAGAAGACTTACACATCTTTGCACGTTCAGCTTTCTTGAAAAAAATTGTCCCCCTCGCCTTTGTCCGAACGGTAATATGGACGCAGTTAAGCCACCGGATATTGAGATTACTGCACCGGAACCATTCCTTGAACCGGAAGTACTACCGCCGTTAGATGGCTCCCAGGAGAAAACTTCAGAAACGTAAGTAAGAAACGAAGAAAATGCGTCGTAACTTGTAATGTCCATAACGATATGTTTGTCGTTTTACAGCGACCACTGTCTATAACGATGTGTTTGTCGTTTTAAAGCGACCACTGTCTATAACGATATGTTTGTCGTTTTACAGCGACCACTGTCTATAACGATGTGTTTGTCGTTTTAAAGCGACCACTGTCTATAACGATATGTTTGTCGTTTTACAGCGACCACTGTCTATAACGATGTGTTTGTCGTTTTAAAGCGACCACTGTCTATAACGATATCTTTTGCCGTTTTACAGCGGCCACTGTCTATAACGATATGTTTGCCGTTTTACAGCGACCACTGTCTATAACGATGTGTTTGCCGTTTTACAGCGACCACTGTCTATAACGATATGTTTGCCGTTTTACAGCGGCCACTGTCTATAACGATGTGTTTGCCGTTTTACAGCGGCCACTCTCTATAACGATGTGTTTGCCGTTTTACAGCGGCCACTGTCTATAACGATATGTTTGCCGTTTTACAGCGACCACTGTCTATAACGATGTGTTTGCCGTTTTACAGCGACCACTGTCTATAACGATATGTATGCCGTTTTACAGCGACCACTATCTATAACGATGTGTTTGTCGTTTTACAGCGGCCACTGTCTATAACGATATGTCTGCCGTTTTACAGCGGCCACTGTCTATAACGATATGTTTGCCGTTTTACAGCGGCTACTGTCTATAACGATATGTTTGCCGTTTACAGCGGCCACTGTCTATAACGGCCGGTTTGACCACTTTGTTCCAAAGTTTGATACTCGTCGTATTTTGAGTTCTATATATAGACGCTGGAGATGGAATTGATATTAACAGTTAGTACTATAGAAAGCTATAATGACAGCTACAGACAAATGTCAGTATGTATAACAGCTATAAAGAGATATCGGTGACCGCTTTAGAAAGTGTTCATATTTAACACGCTGGTCACTATAGACATCAGTTGATGCTGACGGTGGCCGTTATAGACAGATGTCGATATCACACTTCACACTTTAGGGGTGGGTTTAGTTTCCTCAACCCCTCGACTTATCCCTCCCCTCTGTAAAATAAAATGTTCTTCATTTCATCTATCTCATGTACAACATCTTTAATTAAAGAAGCAACTGTACACAGAAGTCCGAGTATGTACTGTGCTGCTGATGTAAACGACAGAATTCAGGCTCATTAAATTAAGTCCAATGATAACATTTTGAGTAAAAGAGAAATTTATGTCTAGTGAATCTGTGAGTAATGGGTATCAACATATGTTGTAGTTAAGAGCATATATTGTGTAAGTAGAATGTCAAATTCCCAAAAATCAATAAATCGATCAAATCAATCCTGGACAAGATAAACAAAATCCGCGGAAGATTGATAAAGTTTTAGTTTAATACGACTCGGATAAAACAACCCATAACTCTCTAGGGGACATGTTGACGTGTCCGAAGTACTGGCCGTTTTTTTTACCCGGAGTCTTAGCCAAAAATTGACCTTTGGTCAAACCTTTGTTAAATAACTCGAAAATATCAATTACGAACCCGGCCAAAATTCTTCTCGTGAAACTTGCCTAGTCAATATAAATAAATTTTACCGTAGAATAGTCATTATTCTAAGAACACACAACTACTTTGAACAGAACACAGATCTCAGATAAGTCATCATAGCACGTGTTAATCGGTCCTAATCTGACATCAGCAAATACTGAATGGAACAAACTTCATTCTTTTTCAACAAAAGTCATCTCTTTTCAATTTCAATTTTTCTAAATCATTTCAGTAATCACCGAGAGATACAGAGGGGGAGGGATGGATATTCCATATTCCTTTTTTCTCCACTCTCTCTTTTTTTAACAAACAAATGAATATAGGCTGTGAGTTGATGCCCCAGATGTGTAACAATTCAGTGTTTTGGTAATAGAATTGTTGCCAATATAACTGCAATTGGCATTTTTATAGACCCTAGGAGTCTTGCTTGGGTTAGGCTGTCATGAGAAATTTGCCAGAAGGACATCTCGCAATTATATCGACTATAATTACATTCAGAACATAATTTATAATTCATTTTACAAGTACCAGCAACATGTATGGCTTAGTTATACCGTTATAAAATGTAAACAAAAATAGAAAGAAAGAAAATCAATCTTATACAACGGAGTAAAATTAGTAATGGGAACAGCCGAAACAATGAACTGCCAAAAAGAGCGTTATGACGTCACAACACTGCAGGACCAGTTGCAATTATAGTCTCATAATTACATTGGCCATCGAGTAGCGTTGTAATGGGATGACAGAGGTAAAATGTAAAACTTTAATTTAGCATGACAACAAGCTAACAAATCTCTTCATACGTGTTATTGAAATAGACAAAAATCGATACTGATTATCGACCGAGAATAACAGTAAATCCTTGGTAATTCCGTGAGTTTAATATATAAGGTCAAGGAATCAATAACACTAACCCTTCTTTGTAAATTTCTACACGAACAAATTTCACACAGACACGCCCCTGTCAACAGGCAAGCAAATGCGAAAATCGATTCGGGGTCTGTCAAAATTCGAAGATTATTACAAACGATTAATGGTTATAATGTAAGTGTATCTTCATTATGAATATATTCATAGATGTGACCCACTAGATAAAATGTACAAATATGTGAAGTATCTGTTGATTCAAATGAGTTTTGTATCAGTATCATAGGTATTTTTCATTCATGTCAATAAATTTAATGAAATGAAATTACAGTTTCTTTCCGTTTGAAACATCACTACCAATTTTGTAATATTGAACGACCAGCATGCACCAAGTGATTAAATGGAAAATCCTTTGTTCCACCTAGCTCAACTAGCTACTAATGATTGCATTGAAAATGTATATATAAAAAAAATCCAGCGGAGATTCGAGAAATGGAATCAATCCCATCATATGTTCTTCTATTTATTTCTCTGTCGTTCTGTCTATCCTGCCACATTTACCTCTAAATTCCTCTTCCTCCTGAGTGTTAGAGTGTGGATAACATATGTTTCTTTCCTTGTCTTTCATTCCTCTATAAATCCCTTTTTTTCTTTCAGCATGTTTATCTCTCTTTCTTTCTCTTTCATTCATTACTCAGTTTCTCTTTCTCCCTCTGTTTTTTTTTCCTGTTCTTACTGTTTTTGTAGAACCTCCGCTCTCGTCCTAGGGAATAAGACTCAATAAACAAGTTCACACGATGTCTGATAGAGTGTTTACTCGTGTTTGTCAGAGGCCGATATGTTTAGTTTCGGCTTCAGATTTGTATAGACAGATTTACTGAGAATTCATGTTTATATGTCAACAGCATTTCCATGGAACAGTTGTACGCATAGGGAAACCCTACCACACCAACACACACCCACACTTACACCCCCCCCCCACCCACACCCTCCACCCACACACCAACCCACACGCACACCCACCCACCCACACGTACAAACACCAATCCAGACGCACCCCCCCCCCACACACACACACACAACCACCACCACACACATTAGAAGTCTTTTCTGCCCGCACTTCAAAATATAATCGAACGCACCCAGATTTATTCACCTCCCGTTGCATGTACAAGTGTTTGTTTAAACTAAATATGATTACTTTTATTGTATAGCCTGGGTTCTAAACCGTTAAACCACTTCAGGTTAGCCATAGAATCCAACAAACTTTCGACGCAGGTTATAAAACATGTCACCGAGATCTATTGTTATCACCAGTCCGCCTTATTTTATAAAGATAGCTATTTAATTACACTTATCTTACCACTGTAACAAGCCTTGGCGTTTCTGCAACGATCAAATTATTCTCGTTCAAATATAATTTCTTCTGTGTTTGTTCAAGGCACTGATTCGGCATTAGAGTTATATTAGATCGGGACACACAATCTTGATGTCCTCCCAAACAGTTCATAGCCAATCAGAAGGAAGTTAATGAAATAATGAACCGACCGAGTATTGAAGGAGGCTACACCATTAAACAGCTTATTCTATTTATCAAGTTAGCGTTCGTTTAATATCTCAGTATTTCGGCTAGTAGGAACTCTTTTTCTACATAAATTACTCACATCACTTTTAGCATTTTGATTACAAGACCATGTGACTTAAAACAAATGCAGTGAATTAAATAAAATTCATAAGATACATGGTTTCCGTTATTCAAAAATATTCTATATTTGGTGACATACATACAGTAGCATCGTCAAGTTTATCCTCTACTCCAATAAACTGCTGTGAGAAAAAAATGATCTAGATTTTGACTTTTCTTTAATCAATACAGATTTTCCTCAGTTGCCTCCGAGGCTTCAAACCTTAGGGCCATAGCATCACTGACGAGTCCTATCAGGACGAAACAGCTGTATGATGTAGCATCACTGACAAGTTCTAGAAGGACGAAACAGCTGCATAATGTAGCATCACTGACGAGTCCTATAAGGACGAAACAGCTGTATGATGTAGCATCACTGACAAGTTCTAGAAGGACGAAACAGCTGCATAATGTAGCATCACTGACGAGTCCTATAAGGACGAAACAGCTGTATGATGTAGCATCAAAAACGAGTTCTAGAAGGACGAACCAGCTGTAAGATGTAGCATCACTGACAAGTTCTAGAAGGACGAAACAGCTGCATAATGTAGCATCACTGACGAGTCCTATAAGGACGAAACAGCTGTATGATGTAGCATCAAAAACGAGTTCTAGAAGGACGAACCAGCTGTATGATGTAGCATCACTGACAAGTTCTAGAAGGACGAAACAGCTGTATGATGTAGCATCACTGACGAGTCCTAGAAGGACGAACAGCTGTATGATGAAGCATCACTGACGAGTCCTAGAAGGACGAAACAGCTGTATGATGAAGCATCACTGACGAGTCCTGGAAGGAGGAAACAGCTGTATAATGTAGCATCTCTGACGAGTCCTAGAAGGACGGAACAGCTTTATGATGTAGCATCACTGACGAGT